TTTTAGCTAAATTGTTCTGAGAACCCGTCACGTGACGCGCAAAAAGGCAAAACAAAATTGTCACTAAGCTTAGAAAAAACACAAAATGATCTACCCAAGAATTGGAGATCAGTAACCCCCAACGTTAAACGTTTCATCTTGCGCGTAGGTCCTCCAGGCATGGCGCAAATTAATTGCGAAAGAGCAAAATCAAAATACGAGTGCTTCTGCTTACGTATCAAAAATGATACCTCCGTTGAAGCGTCAAAAGATGCGCGCTTAAAGAAGTACATAAAAAAGGAGGTTAACCATTTTGTGAGCGATTCCTTTCGCCTTTACTGTAAACAGCCTCGCCATTGCGAAGGAAAAGCACAATTAAAAGTGGCTAACTTGGACTCCCCTCTAAAGTTGTGCATTGTATCGTAGCAACAGCTCTGTAAGAACTGCTATTAGTCATAATTACAGGCGTACAATACGTGTACGAACCTATGCACGTACGCACGCGCATAGGCTTACAAACGTTTCTACGTGGCCTCCTTGCCCGTCGCGCGCGCAAGGGGACACCACCACAGGGAGGCTTTTCCAACCAAAGAACGTCCATTCACGTATCAAAAGGGTAATAGAATTATCAGGAGCCCAATTTCATACTGTTAAACGTAAAAACACACCGCAGAAAACTATAAGAGAGATCGCATCGTGCAGCTCCTAAAATGTTCACGCTGTGTAAAGGCTACAGTGACGACGAAGAGAATGAAGAAACAGAAATAATCAGCGCAGTGTCCGAGAAAAAAAAATCATTTGAAGAAAAAATATCCTATTATAAATTAAAAGGAAAAGGTGAAAGAGGACACATAACAATTTACACAAACCTTGGTGAGTTCGAAATAGAAATGTATTGGTACCATAGCCCCAAAACATGTTTCAATTTTTATTCATTATGTGAAATGGGTTACTATGACAACACCCTATTTCACAGAATTATTCCCAACTACATCATTCAAGGTGGCGACCCCACGGGGACAGGGAAAGGGGGAAAAAGCATTTATGGAGAATATTTCGAAGATGAAATAAATAAAGAATTAAAGCATACTGGGGCTGGAATATTAAGCATGTCCAATAATGGCCCTAATACGAATTCCTCACAGTTTTTTATAACCTTAGCTCCTTTGCCTCATTTGGATGGAAAACACACCATCTTTGCCAGGGTCAGCAAAAATATGACTTGTATTGAAAATATGGCAGCCGTCAAGACAAGTGCGACGAATAAGCCCATTTTTGACGTCAAAATTTTGCGAACGTCAACGGCTGTGAATGTTGATTGATGGGTCCAAGCGTGGAGGCGTAAATTTTGAACCTTTCCGAAATGGTACAGATGTTCATGTCCATCCCCGTACCCGTGAACAACACGTACATATATGTGTGCAAATGATCCGTCAAATTTGAAAGATCATATAGGTGCCCTCCAAGAATTAGCACGTACGTCCATAAAGTTGTCGTTTTGTAGTTATTCATTTGTTTGTAAAGTGAAAAGGGGGATTATTCATCATTATCAGCTTTTGCTTTTATCAAGGTTTGTAACGAGGTTTATTCATTTTGCCTTATATTACTTTTTTTTTTTGTCACCTTATTTTTTTTCTTTTTCTGTCGTAAAAAATAAATGCCGTGTCAGGTAAGAATTTCCCTTTTTCGAATTTTTTTTTTTGAACATTTCTTTTTTTTATTTTTAAAATGCAACATAAATTTCGCCGCAATTTTGACGCTTCTTAAAATGTAAATAAAAAAATGAAGGCTTTAGATGGCATACTTCCCCTTTTCGGTTTTAAGTCTTTTCTGAGTTAGTTATCCGCTTCGCGCTAAAGCTCGTCCCACTTTGCAAGGCAATAAGATGAGCCCGACTGAACCGAATTGGCGTTCGTCTGTGGCGAAATAAAGAAGCTACAGATATTAAGCAATCCAAAAAGTAGCAGAAAAATAAATCAGTCAAGTATAACTATAAAAATTATTTATGCAATATCGAATAAGAAGGGAGAAAACAAAACGCAGCAATTCTTTTGATGTGACTTTGCCGTACCACCGCTGCTACTCTCCATTTTTGAAACTCACATGGGCATTAAAAAGGGGCAACATCCTTCAGTGGGTACCATCTACTCGAATTTTCCACTCCATGTGAGCGTTTGTTAATTGCATCATTTCTCCTCAGGGGAAAAATAATCAACAGATTGGCAGAATTATATATCCATACATACTTACGCCGCACAAAGTGCGTCCTTCTCCATTCATATAATTAGCCCCAAATTCTAGGAAGTTTTTTCCATCCTTGAGAAGCCACTCAAAAACTAGGCGCAAAATTACGACGCCCAAAGTTGTTAGAAGGCATCATCTAATGAACCAGAAGCAAAATGATAAACGATGAAGACTTGAGCCTCGAGTCCTTCAAAAAGCTAAAGCAGCTGGAGGAAAAAATAAACGAAAAAACAAAAAAGAATGAGAAGAGGAAAAAAGGAGAAGACAATAAGGTAAAAAACTTCATGCAACTCAAACTGTTGGAACACTCATTACCCCATGATGTCAGGAAAAAAATGAAATCCTTAAAAATCGACAACATGAAAGATCTCGGAAAGTTAGCTGTCACTAAGAAGAAGAAATTTTTCGTGAAGATTTTGGAACGCAAAGATTTAAAACACCAGCAAAAGCGGAGGCAGAAATAGGCCCCAATCAAATTTTGGAGCGTACCCTACAAACTCATCTGTGGCGAAACAATGTTTTAGTAGCATCCGCCCTGCGTTTCACTCTGCGCACGCCCTGTACGGTGCACGTTAAAGAGCCTCCCTTCGCCATGTAGGCAGACGATGCAGTGCAGGAATTTTTTTTTTTTAAAGTTCCATATATACGACTTTTGTGAATAGGCACATGTTTCCACGCACACATATTTGCATGCATGTGCTGACTTAATTTGAGCGGGAATGTCATGGTACGTCTCCTTCCAATCAAACTTGTCGCCATTGAATGGTATTATTTTCCGTGTGCTCTTGATCAGTTCCTTATCTTAAAAAAGTGAATGCACAGGAAACAAAAAAAGAGGGTTTCTTTGTTACGTGCAACTTTGTCTTTCTTAGATGTACACATGGGTGGGGTCACTCTTCCAATTGGAAGTGGATCAGGAGGATACACCCCCATGTGTGGGTGCACCTTCATACAGTCCACGTCATTTTGAATGAAGCATGCTTGATGACCCCTTATGCAAATTACCTGTATGGATAAGAAACTCGTTTAACTCATAAAGTGCGCAATTCTCACACTCGCGTATAGCGGACAAAATATTTTCCGAAAAATTGTCAACACCCTAAGTAGAAAAAATTATATCAAATGGGTTAGAAATGTGTAAAAGGAGAGGTGTCAGTAATAGTAAAGTCAATACGAAAAAGGGTCTTGTTCGCCCCGTTTTCACTCTTTTTTTTTTTTCCATTCATTCATATCCGTACGTTGTTCACATGGACCATTTTCTCAAAACCCTTGGTGGCCTTAAAATTGATGTTCGCGTCTTCGAAATATGTGAGAACTATGTCTATGGTGCCCTGGAAATTTTTCAAAAGGAGATTTGCTTCTGGTGGAGTGTCATGTGAGAAAATATTTTGAACACACAAACATTTATATGTATGCGCGAAAGTACTTATCCAAATAGGACAAGATGAAACGGAGCTAATTTTATTTCTACATTTAAGAGAACTTCCTCATCCGTTGTTAAAAAAGTCACATTCCAGGAGCTTCTCCACGAACTGGCGCTGAGGGGGGGAAAACAAGAATGGACATCTCCATCGTTTGGCTATGAATCAAATTTGAACATGAACATTTTGGGAATTTTCTTTTTTCTTTTTTTTTTTCTTTTCTTACTGGAAATTCTTCAAATAGTGTCTGTCGCAACATAGGATAAGGAGGAGGTTCAATCTGCCTTCGCGCTCCGTAGCGTAGACAGACGAGCAGCATTTCACGCTAAGGCCATTCTTCGAGTTGATATTAACGGTTGGGTAATTAATCGTTTGCAGTTCGTTCCAATTCGAGTAGTGCACTTGGACATACTCTTCCAATTTTGCGCTGCAGCTTTTTCTGTCACATGGAGTACGGTGAAAGGGTGAAAAAAAATAAAGCAAAGAAAAACAAGGAGAAGCCAAGAAAAGCAAAGCAATACAAAAGAATGTTATTGAAATTACACAGTTTATACTTCCCCACTCATGCAGTGGAAGAAGGCGAAGTAATATCTCCCCTTTGATACACAAATGTCGAACCTATATTTTTCCAAAAGCTCTGGGTAGTTCAGTTCTTCAAAGTCCGCCTTTGTGTTTACCTTCTATTGAATAAAATGTGTTCGTAAAATTTCCGAAAAGGTGGAGGGAAGCACGCACAACATATATTTTCTTTCAAAAAAAACTCCCGTGTGGGAGTACCTTCTTCAAGTGGTTAACATCGAGCAGCAATTTCAGATTCGGCTGGAGGTAGGAATTGCCAACTTTGGACTCCTCACAGGTGATGACCTTCAAGTGAGAAAGTTATTGGGGGGGGGTTTGGGCTCATATGCATTATTGAAAGGGTAATAGGCCAATATGATCACCTGATAGCACTTGCATAGGCACATGCGGATGTGTATGCCTCACTGCTGCTGCCTCAAGGAAATAGCAACCCGACACATTGGGCAGGTCTCTTACATATTCGTCACCCGAGAGGGGAATGATGGCATAGTTCTGTTCATTGTGAGCGGCCACGGCTTCTTCAATTGAATTTTGAATCACCGCACTTGTTCCAAAGAGCGTTTTTAAGTCTGTGTAAGGGTGTTGAATCCGGGTGGAAAACTACATACAAGCGTAAACGAACAGGGGCATATGCCTAGGATCATTTTGAGGGGTCAACTTTTAGCACCCCCCTTTCTGCATGCATCACTGGGAGGGGTGTAGAACGTGTTATCCCTCCACACCTGACACCAAGTCGGCTACTTTCCCAGGAGGCGCGTTCATCAAAACATGTCTAATAAAATTATTCTTTTCATTCAGTAGGCTTTCCATCTTATCCTTAATTAGCAGTCCACAGTTTGACGTAACGCGGGCAGTTATTCGGGTCTATATTTTGATGAAGGACTCTTTGGAAAGGGGTTTAAAATTTTAAAAAAAATAAATTAAAATAAAAAAAATAAAAACATTCCCACTCATCATGCCAAATGTTCAATGCTGATCAAACGTGAGTGCTCACAAAATAGCCTCCCTTCATTTAATTCGCCCCTCGTGCATTTTGAACTGAGTCACTGTCCCGGTGTGCTTAAAAAGGCTGTCATATTTGCGGACGCGAACGAGAAAGTGCAGAATAAAAAAATATGCATTCCCCTTGATTCCAAGCTCAATTCGGTGTACTACAAATCAAACTTTGCATTTCTCAAAAAAAAAAAAAGGGAATAATCTTCTAGTGTTGACAAGTTTCCCATCCCCTTTGCACACGCCCATTTGCAAACCCCATTCGCAAAGTTGTCACATTTCACTCCGCCCAATTTAGCACAGTGACCCTGGCCCCCAAAATGGCCACGAATAAGTGGAAAAACAATTCGGCTGTTGCCACGAGAAAGCAGAGGAACTTACAAAGCTGTCCGAAATAGCTCCCGTTTTTTGTGGAAAAATAAAAATCTGTCTTTTTGAACAAATCCAATTCAATTCTGGTGAAAATCATATGCAAGTTGTTGTTAGTGAACAAAGGGTGCGAAGACGTATGGGTAATAGAACATACGTTCATATTAAAAAAGTGTGAAAATTGCACAACTGTAAAACTGTGAAACTGCAAAACGGAGGAATTGCAAAATTGTCAAATGATAGAGCATATCATAGCACAGCAACTGGGCGTGGCGCTGGAGGAATATCCGCCGCGAGACGGATAAAAACGAAAAAATTAATAACACTAGAAAAAACTACATTATCGGTGAAAATATAAATTTTAATAAAGGTATACATATATAAAAGAAAAAAAAAGACTAGATATTTGTGTAGGTGTTACTCCTGTGGGATACACACACACATTGGCTGTTCAAGCGGGGGAAGAACTTTGCGATGTGATAAGCAACAAACACAAGTACGAAAAAAAGTAAAATAAAAATACTCCGCATATGCGTGCAGGCATGGCGCAACGGCAACTCACAAGATGGGAAAAAATAAGTTGGCAAAAAACATTCGATTATTGGCCGACCTCCAACCATTTCAGCAATCGACCGTCGTCATTTCGTGCTGAAACAACGCTAAAAAAATTCGGGGATGGGCCATAAGCTGGCTCAGGTCAAATTGATTAGCAGCTAGATTTTATTGGGATCGTTTCTTCTGACGTTTTCCCGCTGTAGTCCTTACTGTAGCTCTTTATGAAATTTATTCCGTCGCCTTTTCTGTTGTCTAATGGGGGGGGTGAGATGCAATTAGCCCCGGTCGACACCGTCAAGGTACGCATGCCGCTACTCACATAGATACATGCAGATACACACATTTCTCCAAATTTTTCCTTTGAATAAAGAAAGGACGTCAGGATAAAAAAGAAAAAGAAAAAAAAACCATATCATACAGCCGCTTAACTGAACAATCATCTGTGAAAAGGCAAAGTTCAAAATTTACCTATTGGCAGGAACCAAAGGAAAGGGGATTCTCCGAAAACGTCTTTGAAATTCTGGTACATACCTTTGTTATAGTATTTCTGCGGGATGAGGAAGGAGTCAATGGTAGGACAGGTAGACGAGCATAAACAGGTGCAAGAGGACACTGTCAAAAATGACGCATTACCGAGTAGGACTGATTCTGGTAATTCGTCTGCTTCTCGCAGAATTCGATGGTCGTCATCGCCTTAAACATGAGCCTACGCAGGGGGGGGAAATGAATACACAGAATGATCACTTTGGAGAGAGGGACACGGATGATGAGAAGGGGCGAAATTCACGGGGATTGACTCGCCCATCAGGCTGCCCAGTCCTACATACCAGATGTGAAACAATAAAAAACAAGTGATGATTAGAGCGAGGAAGGAATTCAGGGTTTCTCCGAAGAGTAGCAAAAACAACTCGTTAAATGGGGTCTAAAAAAAAAGGGGGAGGAAAAAAAAAAAAATAAGTTACTTTAAATTGCACCAATAACCACTTCGACTTAGCGACTCCTGTTAACTAAAAATCCAAACAGTTGGAATTCCTCCATGTGTTTCCCTCTAACTGTGCGTTATGGAAAATCCCCAGCGTCAAACCCATTTGGCTGAACGCGCTCCTCCAGACGCTCATCAAAAGACACGAATGAGGATGCAAACTGCACTGAATGCAAACTGCACTGAAGAGACGTACCTCCTTGTGATTTATGGCATCCCTAACCGAATTAAACATCGTTATTGACACAAAAACACTAGTCACACAACAATAAATTAAGGAAAGCATAAAGTACTTGTGATTATTGTACCCAACACAGTTATATATCCACGGACAATGATGGTCCATTTTTAAAATGCACTTTTTACAAACTCGGCAATGATGAGTCCTATCAGGTTTGAATTTGCAACACCATTTGCAGTAACGCCTTTCTCCCGTTTTTTTTTTCTCCAATAAGTAGTTATCCATATCGTCAACGTAATTCTCTTGGTGATCTTTAATTTCCCATTCATTGGTGTTTGGAATGGAGCCAGGGGAGACTACTATGGACAGCAGGTAATTCACGAGGTACATGATCAGGCAGACGTGGAAAATGGCTACTTCGGTGATTCCTCTGCGGAGTGGAGCGGTGCGATGGATGGGTTAGGCGGAGTGGAGAAGTCAGGCAGTGACATACACACAAACTCATACGCACCAATGGGACAAATATCAAATTTCCCCTTCCGGCTGAAAAGCTCCATAACAGCGCGCCACCACCACCCCCAGCTTACCTCTTCAAGTCGTAATTGATGTACACCTTCCTGTGGTTTCTCAATATAAGTGGAAGGCAGTGGTACTACAAGGAAAAAGCAAAAGATAAACCATTTGGCATACACATTTTTGTACTTTCCAAAGAAAGATAATCATTTTTTTTTTTTTATTTTCCACGTAGAACTTTTCAGAGGGGTCATTCCCGTGCAGAAAGATGCTCCAGGGACATTCGCCAGATGGAGTGGCCCCCCTCTGCGTAGGTTACTCCCTCGAAACACTTACCATTACGTATATCAGGTATATGACGAATAAAACAAGGAAAATAAAAAATACAGGCAACAGACGGACAAATTTGCTCCGGTTATTTTGTATAGTGAAGATTTCCTCGGCGTTGTTCTGCTGCCCCGTGTGTTCAGCGTCGTACTCGACACTGTACTCGTCACTATACCCTGCGGTGGTCTCATCATTCGTTGCCTTGCTTCTTTTATCCGCCGTTGACGTTTCCTGTACTATTTCTTCCTTCACGCTGTTTGTGAGATTTATGATGCTCTTATCCGTGGAGTACTTTCTGCTACTATCGCTTCTCTTTTTCTTCTGTTTATTCTTCTGCAAGGGGAAGGGAAAGAATGGGAAATACGTTGCCAAAGCTTTTAGACTAAGAAGCCATTATTCCCACTGGCTCAATTGCAGTGAAATCAATTTTTAAGAGTTCGCAAACGGTGCGAGACGCGGAAAAATGTAGACTCAGATAGATTGGGGCGGCAGAAGGGATGTCAGAATGCAACAACAGGAGATGTAACAGGGGATGCAACATAAGACGTAGTATACGATGAAGTAGACAACTCAGTGGAGAGGAATACACTGGGTGCACCGAATTGAGGACATGCCATCTACGCGTCACACTCATGCCTTCTTTTTAATTTTTCTCTTCCATCCTGCGCACCTTTTTTTTCTTCTTTGTGTCACGACTGGAGTCCGTCTTATCTGACACCACAATTATTTTACTATCATCGTCTAAAGTATCTTCCGTGTTCTTGTCTCCATCTGCATTTAACATTTTAAGTGTTATACTTCTTGGTAAAGGAATAAAAGGGGAGGGGTGAGAAGGTATATTTCCTCTATGTTCAGCGTAACATAATGATTTTTTTTTTTCTTTTGGGATCTTCCTTTTTGGCCGTCCTTTTTGGACCTCCTTTTTGGTCTTCCTCTTCGCTAAGATTCGTCGCGTGTGCGTCCTGGCAGCACTTCACGCTTTGCCTATATAGCTCTGTTGTGCTTAACTAGGCATTCATATATAGTTAATTATGCGCAGACATTCCTTCACGTACATGGGTGCACATGCCGAGTTGGAGGCATAAATGACGCTGACTTGTTACCCTTTTGTACTTCTTCCTCCTTTGCGGCGTTGCACTGGTGTGCGAGAATCGGGCGAGTCCGCCTTTTTTAATTAAAAGGAAAACAACCAAAGGGGGAAGCGCACTAGCGAGTTGCTAAACGAGGTGCATGACTGTCTAACGTGTGCGTTGGCGGACAAACAAGCGCGTCAAATGCAAACATGTGAAAGACAAACATGTGAAAAACAAACGCGTAAAGGACAGACGCGTTTACTCGCAAACAAACAAATAAAAAGTGAAAACAAATCTTCTTTATGAACATATAAGGAAGTGTATACATACGCATGTGTGTAGTGCGCTCCATCCAATGCACTATGACACCTTCACGCGGAAGTAATTTTGCATAACTATATGATATTATATCAAAAACTACATACGTGAAAATGCTGTAGTAAACAGAGACGTGGAAAAAGAAAAAAAAAAAATCACTCACACTATGATAAAAATAAATTACGTCCAAATTTCACATATACCAACAAACACAATTTTTTTTTTTTTTTTTAAAGCTATAAATAGTTAAATAAAAGACGGATGGGGAATAGAACGGAAAATAACACTGCGGGGGAAATTTCTTTCCCTTTGCATACCCACTTGTTTCCTATTTTCGCAAAATGTTACATTTGTATCTTTTGGTATGATAAGACGGGTAAAAATGTGTCATTCAGGGGGGGAGTGCTGCAAAAAATTACGTAAAGGGGGGCGGTGAAGTAGGCGTGACTGCGAAATAGTAACTGCGAAGTGGTAACTGCGGAAGAGTGATTGCGAAAAATCGATTAACTAAATGTAATTCTCCATACGTGGGTACAAAACCCTTCAGCACAACGCGCGCCCTGATTTTACTAAAAAAAAAAAGAAATGTAAGAGGCGAAAGGTACACACATACGCTCTGATGACCAAAGAGTGGGTAATTTTTACACATCAGAGGTATCCAGTTGAGTGTCTTTACATGTAGCCATTCGTGCAGTCCTCAAAAAGGTGTAGTGAAAACTGTGCTCAGGAAACAGCAAGAAAAAAATCAAAAATTTAAATGAATGCAGTTTACGGCTCAAATCTGCCAGCTTTACTTTTCCCGCTAAAAATAGGGCACACTGACAAGTGAAGAATAAAATGCCGAGAACTGCAACAAAGCGGACGTGTATTTACAGGTGGGTTTAAGCTCAAAGGCGTATGTGTCAGTCGCTGGTCTGCGCAGTCGTCTATGCAAATGTACGTTTACGCATATAGGACAGTGTAGCAACCGCAGGTGAAAATCACAGTTGAGAGGGAAAAAAAATGCAACAAAATAAAGTCTTTTATATGCTGAACGAAGGTATGTATCTTTTCCACGTATTTTTCGCGTAAGGTCTAAATGTTAATCAAAGAAATGCCGTTTCTCATTTAAGGAGGGAAAAAGGAAAAAAGTAGGAAACGTCTTCGCATAAATGAGTGTTTTAAGGGTAATGAGCTTCTCTTTCCTCTGCCCTGTTTGGCATCACCTTGAATGCCACTGTCCATGTACAGCCTTTATTATACTTCGTGCGGAAAGAGTTGACCCTGCGCAAATTTTCAATTCAGTCAACCTCACGCTGTTGGCGGATTCGGCACGTACGTAAACGCATGCCTATGCAATTACGCAAGTAAACCAATGCAGGTGATTCCCCCTATTTCCACTTTCAGTTTGTAACAGAATTTTTCCAAATAAGGCGATTTTTCCGTCTCCTGTTCCTTAACTTTGACTTTAATTTTAATTTCGTTATTGTTGCTCTTTATTTTGTAGAAGAGGCAGAAAAAAAGGGAACAGAAAGACGAAAATAACAACAAAAATAATGGCAAAAATAATGACGAAAATAATGACAAAAATAATGACGAAAATAAAGACGAAAATAAAGACGAAAATAAAGACGAAAATAAAGACAAAAATAAAGACAAAAATAAAGACAAAAATAAAGACGAAAACAAAAACCAAAACAACGACGAAAAAAAAGGGAATTAATTTTGTAAAACGATGCACACGTGGGCATTTAAAAAATAGCGGTCTTTAACAACTTTTTAATCGCCAATTCTTCCTTTAATATCTTCATTTTGTGCATTTTTCCTATACTGACAGAAGTTTTTTTTTTTTCCTTCCCTGTTAAGCCAATTCGCATGAATCGCCTTGGTTCTCCTTTCATTTCTTCCTTTTACTCTATTTCACTTGTTCAATCCTTTATTTTTTCCCATTTCTGCGCGCGAATATAGGCAGTTTCTTCTGCCTCGAAAAGAAACAACGTGCAATGGAATGGCTTTCAGCAATTTTGCAAAATTCATCACGCGAGTGACATTTCTTCGCCTTTTTTGCTTTTCACATAGCGGCGGAAAATAAATACATCACGGAAACGGTTGTGACAAATCCGAAAAAGACAATGAATAATTCTCTCGCATTTTTAAAGGTTGATCTCTCATGTAAGTAAATACGTGAAATTGTGCATACCAATTTGACAAAAAGGACTCCATGTTCCAACGTTTCCCTACTTCTCGCACAATTCGTGCGTAACGACTTCTTCACATTACTACGTTTTTTTTTTTTTTTTTTTCTGAACAAGTTATGGGTTAATGGAGGCATTACTTACGTACAAACGGGTACCCAAATAACTCCTTCATACTTACCACCCCCCAGTCGCATGCGGTCATAGTACCGTTTGAATAGGACAAATTGGGATGGACCAATTTGGACAGCCTCCAAAGTGTATGGGCAGAATGACACACAGGTGGAGTGGAAGTGCAACATTTTTTCCTCAACTTATGTGTCACTGCTTCAAGGAAAAAAGGGGCTTCACAGGGAGCGAAACGAACACATAAGCACTACAAAAATATAATTTTATGGTGTCTTCTGTTTAATAGAAAAATGGAAACATTTCATTAAAGAGACGTGTCACAAATCCTGTCCCCCCACTAGCCACACGGACTTTTCCATTTGGCCCATTTTTAATCACAATTCTTATAAAACGCTCCTCAACCGAGTTGGTAACTATCCTTCTGAAAGGGACACAGTTAAATCGTGGTTATCTTCCAAACGTTTTTTAAAACCCATTTTGGTAAGTCTTCCGTTTCTTCTCAGAGACTGTTACCCCTCTTCCGCCCTCCATTCACTTCGCACTCCTGGTCCAGACCTACACCTACATAGTAAAAATGAAAACCAAGGTAAGGCATCAAAAAAGATGAAAAAAGAGAATGACGGTGACGGCTCCTTCGCCTTTTCCTCGGAAAGGGATGTTTCCAATTTGTATCGAAAGGACCATTATATGAAGCACTGTCATGTTAAAAACCACATCGAGCCAATAGCATTGGAAGACGAAGTTCACATTTTGAAGAGGGAGAAGCATCAATCGTTTAAATTAAGCGACATTTTAAAATCATTGGAAAGAATAAAAGAAGAAAAAAAGGAACCATCAGATGAAGACATCATTTTACCAGAATATGTGGAGCATGAAAAAGTGGAACATGAAGAGGAGAGTCAAGAAAGGATACATTGTGGAGTATACCTACACGAGGTAAACATAATAGACAATTCATATTTTCATTCACGCTATGACGATATAATCGATGACTATTCCGATCCTATACGCATAAAGGGTGACATGTACGTAAACAACATTGTCCATTTCGAAGACTCTTCAAGTTATCGTTCCGTATTTGAGGTGCACAGAGTAGAGTGGTTCTTAGGGTTAGAAATCAATGAGAAACGAATACACGAAATTGTCCCATACACCCAAGGGACCTCTTTCCGAATCCCATTTGAGGCGTTAGGAAAATATATTTTTTGTAAAGCCTACAGAAATGTGCACATAAATTCGGAGTATCAAAAAAGGGGAAGGAACACCGTCTTCGATCCTCATACTCTGGATAAGAAACCTGTGAAATTTAGAGTAGAACCCAAATGTGTTGAAAAATGTTCTATTACGTCTAAGGGGCCCGTCCTAATATCGATAGATAGTGCCTTCCAAATATTGACACTTTTGTGCAAGAATGATTATTCCATTCAGGTGATTGTTGAAGACCCGCACGATAATTTCTGCAATCTGTCCGCCTCATCCATATCGGATGACGAGACAGTTACGACTACATCGAACGAAACCAACCGAACGGATGAAAATCACCGCTTTCTTGCTACCCTGTCCATCAACTTTGACGAGATCAAATTTGGCCTAACAAATTCGGCAACCGACGAGGAGGATCAACCCCCCAGTAGTGCGACGCCTCATATGCAGGGTGCCAAAAGAAACAATGACAAGCGAAGAAACGCTGCTTTTAATTTTTTTGGCCTATTTAACTTCCAAAATGATGGTGCCCACAGCTCATCCGATTGGAGAGCGGAAAGAAAGAGCAACTCCAGTGGAGATGAAGATGGTGAAAAAAGCGCAAAAAGCGTTAAACCGCTCCAAAGCGCTGAGCGGAATGCACACAAAAAAGGGAGCCTTAAAAGGGAAGGCAACAAAACCGAATTGACGCTTAACTTGTACGAAGTAGAATTCAGACTATCGGGTAAAGACGACTGCGTTGTGGTAAGCATCGGAATTGATTTACAGAAATCATTTAAATTTGTCAAATACAAAATGGTTACTATCAAGCCGGTTGGGAAGAACACCTCGGCGAATGACCTGTGGCTAATACTGGTGGCTTTCAAATCTGCGTATTCGTATAAAAAAGTTTTTAAAAAAAATGCAAAAAGAATTTACACGAATACGAATATTTCGTTCGTTCAAAATATAGTAAACAATTATTTGACAAAATCGATGGAAAGGAATGTAGACGGAACTATGCCTCTCCAGAAGATAAACACAATTTTTAACGAAGCGGGGTGAAAAAGGGGCCAGATGAAGAGATGGCAGCGCCATATGCAGATTTTGGCAAAATATACAGGGGGGATGGGGGTAGTTTACGGATGTGCTGCCACGGCACTTGGGGAGAAATTCGCACGGAATGTGCATATCGGAAGTTTTCCAGTTTGTATACTTCTTTATCCGATTAAGCCTCCCACGCGCACATGTAGTAACTTTTAAAAATCTGCCACGTAAGATTGTCACCGATATGAAAGGTACCCATAAATGATGACCCACTTGGGGAGATGCGAAAAAAAAAAAGAAAAAAGAGTCACCCAGATTGGAACGGCGTTTTTGAACCCTCCCCCATTTCTTTTCTCAACCTTCACAAATGCGCGTCCTGAGTCGTTGTCAAAAGGCGCATGCGCGACGTGTTGCCCATGGACGCATAACGACAACATGTAGGTGTTCCTTTCCTATGTCCTTCCCCGAATACTAAGCATACATAAATATACATTTGTGTAGGAAACAGAATAGACCCTTCCGCGGGGATGGCAGAAAAGTTGACTACACATTGTTGCGCCTACTCAATTTGACATCTTCCTTTTTTTTTTTTTTTGGGGGGGGCCCCATTTTACAAAAACAAAATTGACGCAATGGAATATTTTCCCTTTTGAAAAAAAAAAAATACCTTGCGCCAATATTATATATATTTTTAAACTTTTCTGGACCCCCCGTTGAATCAAAAAGGAGAACAAAATTAGGAAAAGGTCCGCGCCTTTTGTTGTGACACTCCCCAAAAGGTAGTCAATTATATTTATAGATAAAAATTTGATTACATCAATTGCGCCTACTACGTAAGGAGCTATGCGTCACCGACGAAACAAATTTTTCTGCACTGATAAGATTTTTTCCCATGACAAGCACTTTGCAAAATAGCCAACGGGAATTGTTGTGCTCGATGTATGCGAAGTGACGTAGATAGAGTAGGCATGCATAATTATATATATAAGCTACATATACACTCTCACTTCTGCACAAATGCGCTTGCTCTTTTGGTAACTCCTCCCATTTGAAAGAATGTTAAAAATTTCGTAAAAACGGAACATCGCGCATGCTCCTCACCCTACATCCATATTTCTCATAATTATCCAAAAAAAAAGGTCATTAAGATGAATATTATTGCTTAAAATGTTGTGCCCTTTTTTTCACCTCCTCGCATGAACGCAACTCTGCTAGCATTTAGAGAGGAATTGTACATTAGAGCCATTTCGCAGTTGAAAATAAAAAAAATTCTGAAAACTTTTGCGAACTGGAAAAAAAAAAAATAAATAAAATAAAACGCAGGAAGAAGAAAGAGTACTTACAATATACATATATGCTACTGCGAAGCCTCGCGTCGAAGGGAAAATCTAACGAACGACCTCCCAGTAGCTAAAGTAAAAAGATAGTGTACAAAGTAGAACACAAAGTAGAACACAAAGTAGAACATAAAATAGAATCCTAAGTAGAACTCCTAATAGAACCCTAAGTATAACTAATAATCGAAACCATTTGGAAGGAGACCAGCCACCCCCACCCCACCCGCGACAGAGCTAAGACGAAACATGGAAATCAACAAGAGCAGTAACCATGACCAAACAAATTTGATCAGCAAAATATGCGCCTACCTAGATCCGCACATGACTCAGATAATTCTGAGTTGGATGAAGGAAAACAAGGTATGTTATAACGTGTAAAGAGGGGTGCTATGGATGGGCTAATGACCCGGAGTGGTTGTCGTTGCGCAGCGGAGAATTCCGCCGACTGGTGTCCTACATTCGTTTGCATGTCCCATGGGATGATTTGTTGAATGTTTTGCTGCTCCGCTGTGGGCAGCGTTCCACCATTTTGCGTGCCAGTTTGTTTCCCGATTATGCGTGCCAATTTGTTCGACCGTCTGTTCACTTCCGTGCTGCTAAGCTGACACCACCACTCTGCGTCGCACTACGATGCCCTTCTCACAGTCCTAACCGACGCCGCTTCACTTCTCTGCAGGTGCTGAACGAAGCCGAAATCGAGCAGAGCCTGGGTCTGCTGAAGGAAGGCTGCGAAAAGGAAATCATCAACATCGAAAACGAATTCACCAACGGAAACAGGGGAGTGATCGTGAATTGTCTGGATAGCCTGGAAGTCGAAATAGAGGAGTTCCAAGATGCCATGAATATGTACAAAAATGATCAAATGAACAAAATCGGAGGGACCGTAGAAAAAAAAAGTATCATGTCATTAAGAGAATGGTGTGGCATAAACGTCCTAGAAAAAACAAAGACCTACAATTTTACGGACAACATAGATGACAAAATTTTAAAGCTAAGTAGGTATTACTACCAGAAAAAGGACTATCAAAAGAGCAAGCAGCTTTTACTCCTATACATTTTGAACATCTCAGAAATAATTATTAACATCTCGGAGTCGCCCAAAATGAGATTGTGCTACTGGGGTATCATCAGCAACATCATTAACAGCTTCTTTGCCAACCTACATAATGATGAATACATGTTAGTAAAAACAGAAGAAGGAAAACTAATCGTGAGGGAAGAAATTATAAATGAAATAAATGTGTGCATAGAAACAATTGTCAAATTGAGTCAAGTTCTAAATAAAGATAAGGTAGGAAGAAGTGAAATTATTTTGCAGAGAAGTTGGTTAATTCATTGGTCCCTCATCTTGATATTCCATTTCTTCATGTATTTAATATATGTAAAAAGTATATACCCCAAAAATAATTCCTTTTCTATGCTACAAGATTGGTTTATCGATGAAAAAAATTTGTCAATTCTCAATTTGATATGTCCACATATTATTAGATACTATTGTGTGTATGCTATATTTTACCGTAATAGGAAAGACCACTTTGAGCTTATCCTGAACACTCTAAACTTGTTGAAGCCTAAATATACAGACCCCTTCACTTCTTTACTAATTTCTATATTTACTGAGTACGATTTTAATATGGCTCAAAGATGCATTGCTCAGTTGGGCTCCATCTGCGAACAAGATATTTTCCTATTTAAGTTAAAGCCCTTTATAGAGGAACAGAGCAGATACATCATCTTCGAAACGTACTGTCGTATCCATAAATCAATCAACATTGACATGATTGCAAATAAAGTAAACCTTCCCAGGGATGATGCCGAGAAATGGGTCGTTAATCTCATTAGAAATGCTAAACTGGATGCTAAAATTGACAGTGAAAAAAACTGCATCGAAATATCCACCACACTCCCCAATCTATACCAACAAGTTATCGACAAAACGCAAAATTTAACCATGAGATCCAATTTCCTTGTTCAAGTTTTAAATCGGTCTTCAACAGATGAACAATTCCAGAAGAACATTCGATTTAAAAATAAAAATGAAAAGGGCAAGAACCCCAAGAGGGGGGGGAAGCCGTACAACCCCTTATTTACCCCCAACAAGGGCGGTATGAAATTCGTTTCTGCAAATATGTAACTGTGCGAAGCGGTAGTTTCGCCTTTGCACCTCTTCACCATTGGTGGTAGCCTCCCAAGGGGGCTGTCCAAGATAGTAACTTATACACATATATTATGTGCATATTTGGGTGTATCCATATATACTTGGACATTTTTTTTTTTTTTTTTTTTTTTTTTTCATCATTTCATAAACCTCTCTCTTCCCCTCACCCCACAATATTACCCAATTTGCTAACAAAAAATGGGCAACTCTTCTCTCCGTTTTGAAATTTCGTATAAACCAGTTTGTCTCATGTGCAGGCGCCCACATAGCTCTACATTTGCCACACCCAACTGCACATTTTAACCACACATTTAAAAAAAAAATGGAAATAAAAAAACAATGAAAATTACAACATGTTCAAATAACATTAAGCTTAAGTTTCTTACCTTTCACGCAAGGATTTGCAACTGAAGCGACGAACCCGTTCGGGACACTGTCCTGAGAGGTGTCACTAGTTATGGCTGCTTAACTACGCTGCCTTACGCACGGAGAGGATCCTCACGGGTCGCCTGCTACTTTGGCGGATTAAAAAGGGGTTGACATCATCGCTACATGCTTTCTACTGCAAAGGGGAAAGAAAGGGTACCCGTAGTGGAACTCACATGGGGAAAAGGAAAAAACAGGGGATTGATTCCGGCGAAGTGATCCAGGAGTCATTCCCTAAAAAGCCCTTTCCCCAGTGTGTTAAACGTGCGCCAGTGGACAAATAGCAAAAAAAAAGTAAATCCAAAATGGTCGAACTTTTTAAAAGTTGAAAAAAAAAAAAAGAACAAAATTGGAGTAGCAAACAGTATATGCAGTAATGTAGCAGAATTGTTGAACTTCTTTTTTTTTTTTTTTCACCCTTTCGCAATGCGAAGTTAAACATTTGGCCTATGCAACTTGTCCATATGTAAACCTTTTCGGCGCTCCCGTAGTTATATTTTTTTCCACCCTGATGATTTTTTTTTTTTTTTCAAGTAGGATAAGTAACTCTTGCAAGTATTTACATGCGAATACGCATAGGAGAGAGGCACAAAAAAAGGGGAAAAAAAAAACTTAGCTTATTCTCAATACGAAGATTAAGCCGTTTTAACGAAAAGTACGCGAAGGGGGATTAATCCCAGGGGGGGAACTGCGTAGATAAGTAAAGGGCAAATTGTGGTAAGCTGGCCCAAAGATTGATGACGCACTCTATTTTACCCTCCCGTTTTATGCATTTTGCGGGATGTAATACTTCATCTCAGTGGGTCCCTTTGGCTCAAAGAATTTAACCCCTTTTGAGAGAAACACGGAGGGATAAAAATTGGGAGAGCTCGCCAAAGGGGGGCAATGAATGGACGACCATTTTGATAGCCCTTTTGACGACCATCTTGAAGGCCATCTTGCAGGGCCTAACAGAAATGGGAGCGTGGAACGACGCATTACGCTGAGCGAACGAGAGATAGCAACCCCCGAGGAAAAAAAACCTCACGTATGCACGTGCTTCTACGTACGTGTCAGAGCATCTGTATGTTCTCTATCGCGTAACCGTCGTGCCTGCTGCGTGCGTACGTCTACCCCATCTTAGCACCCTCTTTTGCTCCCTGTTCCTCCTTTGCGTCTGTGCCAGTAGGCGTTTCAACATCGAGCATACCCCTTCCCTCGCCACACCACCCCATACACACACGCTTGTGCCTTTGTGCACAGTCATATCAATCAACAAAACGGATTCCCAAACCGCTGCCGAGACCGGCACTTCTCTGGCCCCTTCACTGGCCAATTTCTTCACTAAAAGATCTTCCAAAATGTCGGACCTGCGGTACTTCCAAACCACGAAAAAAGGGGAAATCCATGAACTGAAGGAGGAGCTGCATTCCTCCCACAAAGAGAAAAAAAAGGAAGCGATAAAAAAAATCATCGCCGCAATGACAGTTGGAAAAGACGTCTCCACACTTTTCTCCGATGTAGTAAATTGCATGCAGACGTCCAACATAGAGTTGAAGAAACTAGTGTATCTGTACGTAATAAATTACGCAAAGGTGCAGCCAGAGTTAGCCATTTTAGCCGTAAACACCTTCCGGAAAGACTCATCCGACCCGAATCCCCTAATCAGAGCACTCGCCATAAGAACGATGGGATGCATCAGGTTAGAACAAATTACCGAATATCTTATTGAACCGTTAAGAAGGTGCCTGAAAGATGAAGATCCCTATGTGAGAAAAACAGCCGTAATTTGCATCGCCAAATTGTACGACATATCGCCCAAGCTAGTGGAAGAAGAGGGCTTCATCGAAACGCTCCTGAACATATTGGATGACAACAACGCCATGGTGGTGGCGAACGCGATAATCTCTCTAACAGACATATGCGAAAATTCAAACAAAAGTATATTAAAAGATGTGATAAATAAAGACGAAAATAATGTGAATAAACTTCTCAATGCAATTAACGAGTGTGTAGAATGGGGCCAAGTATTCATCTTAGACGCCCTAGTTCTATACGAGCCAAAAACCAGTAAAGACGCAGAAAGAGTCTTAGAAAGGATACTTCCCAGATTGTCCCATGCCAACTCCGCAGTTGTTCTTTCATCCATTAAGGTTATCCTAAGTCTGTTAGACAAAATTAACGATAAGGAGTTCATCAAAAATGTGCACAAGAAGTTAAGTCCATCATTAGTTACTCTTCTCTCAGCAGAACCCGAAATACAGTACATAGCGTTAAGAAACATCAATTTGATAACGCAGAAATTGCCACATATGCTGGCCGATAAAATTAACATGTTTTTCTGTAAGTATAACGAACCTGCGTATGTGAAGATGGAAAAGCTAGACATCATTATTCGTCTCGTTTCAGACAAGAATGTTGACCTTGTCCTGTACGAATTGAAAGAATATTCTACCGAAGTGGACGTAGAATTTGTAAAAAAAAGTGTCCGAGCAATTGGCAGTTGTGCCATTAAGCTACCTCAGTCAAGTGAGAAGTGTATTAACATTTTGCTCGATTTAATAGACACCAAAATTAATTATGTCATTCAAGAGTGCATAGTAGTAATCAAGGACATCTTTCGAAAGTACCCAAATAAATACGAAAGTATCATCACAATTCTGTGTGAAAATTTAGAATCTCTAGACGAATCTAATGCCAAAGCTTCTCTCATTTGGATCATAGGAGAGTATGTTGAAAGAATCGAAAACGCCGATGAATTGATTGACTCCTTCTTAGAAAATTTTATCGACGAACCATACAATGTGCAACTACAAATATTAACTGCCAGTGTGAAATTATTTTTAAAATGCTCAAAAAATACAAAAGATATTATTACCAAAGTGTTAAAATTGTCTACCGAGGAAAGTGACAATCCTGACTTAAGAGACAGAGCATTTATATACTGGAGATTATTATCAAAAAATATAGAAATTGCGAAAAAAGTTGTACTAGCACAAAAGCCACCTATACAGGAAGAGAACAAAATTACCGATACCAAGGTCCTAAATAAATTGATTAAAAATATTTCTATGTTGTCTTCCGTTTATCATAAACTTCCAGAAACGTTCATCTCTAAGAAGGCCAATTATTCCTTCCATAATGACAAAGACGACGATGATGATAATCGTATTGACAATATGGATGACTACAACGTTTCTAAATTTAAGAAACAAATGGAAAGACAAAAATATGACAGCTATTCTAGTGAGAGTAGGAAGTCGAACCGATCGAGGACCTCCAGCGAATCATCTAATAACTCATCTGATGATGTTAATGATGATAAAGATGACGATGAGGACGCTGATGATAGTAAGAAATCTATGGACTTGATTGGCCTCAATGATGATGAATCTAGTAACGCCAAACCTAGGCGAAGTGCACCCCCGGTCAAGTTAGTCCAAGTTTTATCTCCAGAAGATACTGGCTTGAAGGGGCAAACCGGCTTATCCATCTTGTCGTCCATAAACCGTATTGAAGGTAGCCTTTTCTCGTTTTCCATAGCGGTTTGGTGTGCATGTTCATGTGCTCCACGGGAGTGACCACATGAGCACACGCACGAAACTCTCAACAGAAGCGTTTTATCGCATGCACCATCTTGATCGGTAACATGTCTTCCAACTTTTGTGAATTCCTCCTTCCCTTTTGCGCATAACCACTTGTATAATACTTTCCCTTTCATCCACCCCCTTCCGCAGGAAAGATCCAGCTCAAAATAGTCGTGACCAACCAGACGCCAGACCCCGTTGTCATATCAGGAGTGCAAATAAACAAAAATTCGTAAGGAAACAAACGCGATGAGAAAAAGGAGAGGGGAGAGACAGAAAGATGCCTCCACCAACAGTTTTTCCCCCATAGTAATGGATGCTCATTCCTCTTCGTGTAGTAACAACCCATTTGTGCACACATTTAACACCGTTCTTCTGCCCCTCATCTCTCTTCAGATTTGGGCTCTCCTCACCCAACAATCTGGACATCCAAAATGTTTCCTTTGGAGAAACAAAAGGTAAGTTTTGTGGTAGACGAATGGCAAGACTTACTCATCTGGTCCATGAAGAAAACTACCTTTTTAAACAGAAGATATTTGAAATTGCCTCCTTTTTCCAGTATCTTATTTCCCCTTCAAAATAATTTCCGCCCTTTTCTACACCTCCTTTCAGAAATTTTAATTTTGCTGGTCCCGAATATGCTAAATTCGAACACCCCCCCGTCCACGCCTCTATTTTTGCAAGTCAGTTGAGAAGCTCGTCGGAGTTTTTTTTTTTTTTTACCCACCCTCCACCTCTTAAGTTGCAACGTGCCTAACATAACGGCACTTGCGTAATCACCGTTTGGTTTTCCGTCCCTTGCACCTGTTAGGTCGCCATAAGAACGAGCATCGACATTTTTTACTTCAACGTGCCGTATGACATCTTCATCGTCTTTGTTGAAAATTTCAACATGGAGAAGGACATTTTCAAGAAAAAGTGGCAACTGATAGAGGATTCCAAGGAGGTACACTGAAAATATGTGTCGTGTTTGAAGAAGTTACAACTACGTAGTATGTACGGGATATCCTCGGATAGACACCCTAACTGACCTTACCCCTGCCTCCCCTCTTTTAACTTCTTAACTTTTTCGTAGAGCATACTGATGGCTTCAAGCCCCATGGTTATTACCTCCGACATACTAATCAAGAGGATGAAGATATTTAACATTTCGCTAATAGCTCGAAGGAATGTAAATAACATGGTATGTACTTCTCTTAAAAGGGGGTGTTATCCTTGTAACGTGCTTAACCACTGCTTGTTTTATTTTCCTGTTCAATTCAGCTAAGTCAACAGCTTCACCGCGTCACTGAAATGTGAATCTATCTGTAAACTGCTCCGTCGAAACACTGCTCATTTTGTTCCCCCATTCCCCACACACTCTCACACCCACACAGGAACTGTACTACTTCGCCTGCCTAACGACGAACAATCTCGTTATACTGAGCGAAGTGGCCATTCAGCTTGAAAAAAAGGTTGTTAAGCTATCCGTCAGGACGGACTCCACATCAGTGGTAATGACTAACGGCTTCCTCCCAGCAGATGATGCAAAAAGGGCATTATGTGCTAACACGCTTAGCAACGCAAAGGGGGAAAAACTGAACGGATCATATTTGTGCCTGCTATACAATTCGACTAACGAATCTTGTCTATATTTTCTCCCCCACCTATTGCAGATACCTCTGTACAAGCTTCTCTTCGTGAAGGCCTTTTCGTTGAGCGTGACGCAGACATGAGCGATGGGTGAGAAGCGATATTTACAACTCAAGAGGGACCCCCCGTGTTTTCGACTTGTACGATACCATCATTTTCGTATTCTCTCATTTTCGCATTTTCACCCTTTTGTTTTCCCCATTTTGAAACGTACATAAACCCCCCTCTTCACATTCTGTAAACTTATTGTAGCTTGTCCTATTTGTTTTTTTCTTTTTTTTTCCATCCCCTTCTTATATATACATACCATTGTTACATGTGCGTATGCGCCATATACGTGCGTGTGAACTGCGGAAACTTTTTAGTCTACGTTACCCTCCGATGAAATTGTAACAAACGAATACTTTTCAATCGTTTCATTTCTGTTCGGCTTGTGCGGACCATTTTCTTTGTCTTTTTTTTTTTTTTTTACATGGGGAAGCCACATTTTGGCAGCCCCTTCCATCCTACGCGACAGCGAGTGGATACGTAAATATACGGGCTCCACATCGAAAGTAAAGACGGTTATATATTCCTTTTGCGCCATTCGAAATTGGCACATTATAAATCCTCTAAAATGGGGGAAGTGGACGGGGGATTAGGAGACGAAATGAAACAAATTGAGTTGACTTCTTAACCTATCATGTGTGTACAGATTGTATCATTCGGTCAAGAACACCCGAGATGTTAAATATGTGTGGCGTGAAAAAAAAGGGGGCATGTAATTTGTTCGGCCAAGGCTTGAAGTCGATGCGGATATGGTGGCGAAGTTCTCTTTTTTTTTTTTTTTCTTAATAAGGAGAATTATTTTATTTTTAAAGGCACTTCAACTTTAAGCAGACAAACCTTAAAAGAAAGCCTACCTGTCATCGTAGAGTTTATTTTATCTTTTTTCCTTTTTTATCGTATGCGACGAGCACAAAACGTTACAGTAAAGTGAAATCCTGCGTGACACACTTAAAAAACATTTCGGCGCCATCTTTTACTTGTACTTTTCTTAGAATAGATATATTTTTTTTTGTTTTCCTCTTTGATGAAATATCCCAATTTTATCGCTTAAGGTAAAGGGGAAAGGTCATCTCACTGCTCTTCCGATTTGCAAGAAAGTTGGTGAATAGAAAATAGGGAAGCGCGATAGAAGCCATATTGGGGAGTATTCTTTTCGCAATCCATCTTCGCCACGCGCCGCGTTTAATCATTTCCGCGAGTCATTCCTTACGAATATCGTAGACTACGCTCATCACATCGAGTACTTTTCCCTTTCTGGGCCATCCGCAATTTGTGCTATCGCAACTGACGAATCAACGGCACAAAAATGGAGAGCGCCCACCTGGATAGGCTCAATTACGACTTCAGAATAAAAGACGTCACCACCATAAGGGACATCAATTTGCAAGCCAAGGAAAACAACATTGAACATTTTCACGATCAAATTTTACTAAATGAAGAAAAGAACTTTTTAAAAAGAACCGGTTTGCTTTACGGAAGTCAGGAAGTGTTTAAGCATATAATGGATAGAGACATCGTGGCCATGTCCAGGAGGTTGCCAGGAATAAAGAGCAGTATGCTATCCCTGGATGTTGTACGAAATTCCATCGATCGGATAGAGGCACACGAATATATGCAGAATCTGTCTCACTATTCGCTGGAGCCAGTCAGCGAACTCATTGAGCGCAGGATGAACATTTAGGATGCGTAGCGAGCGAAGGGGAACAGAATGGAGAACCTATTCGTAGGCACCCCTTTTCATCGTAACACCGCATGGTGCCCTTTTACGCATCTTAGCACACATATAGGCATCAGTTTTGCAGACATGTAGTGAATGGGATGGCCTATGGGTTAAAAAAAAAAAGACAAAATTGCATAAAAGCGTAGGTACATAAGATCAGCCTGTTGTACTGTTTTTATGTAACCCCTTCTGCATTTGTTCCGTGGTTATTTTATTTTATTTTTTTTTTTATTTTGTTTTATTTTATTTATATTTTATTTTTTTCTTTTTCCAACAAACACACTAGTGAAACGGGAACTACCCTAGCAAAATTAATTTTTTAAGCATTGTAGCACGGTGTAAGTACGCGGAAAAGAGCGCACCCCCGTAAGGTTTAGTTGTCCTTGTTGTGGGGCTTACACAGCGGTGTGCACTTCTAACGCTTCCCCTACCAATCCCCCGTGTAGGCGTGCATATTGTTGTGCTTGTTACTGCTAGACAGAACGTCCTTGTTGGTGAAGGATATCTGCTTGTTTCGCTGGCTCTCCAGTTTGGAGCACTGGGTGATTCTGTGGCCGAGGCCACCACAGTAGGAGCAGCCCTTGACTCCCCCGATTTCTTTTAAGTTGATTCCTTTGCTGTCAAGCATTTCTAGAAAGGGGGGAATCTTCTGCTTAGCCTCAATCAGTAAAGCTTTTAGATCTAACAAGATGGCTTCTTCTTGATTCTTGTTAATAAACGTTGTAGCGATTCCAGTTTTTCCACATCTACCGGTTCTACCAATTCTATGCACATAATTTTCTATATCCTTTGGCATGTCATAATTAATAACATGTTCAATGGATGGGAAATCCAACCCTTTCGAGGCGACATCTGTGCCAACTAGGATATCTTTTTTCCCTTCCCTAAACAAATTAATCGCTTCCTGTCTCTCGGTCTGACCTAAATTTCCATGAATAGCAATTGCATTCACCCCCTTGAGTAACAAATACTCATGCACATCATCTACATCTTTCTTATTTTCACAGAAAATTAAAACAGGGGGTCCAGTTTTCTGTAGCACTTCTAACAGGTAAGGCAGTTTCAATTCTTCTTTTACGTATTCTACTTCTTGTATGACGTCCAAGTTAGCTGCACCAGCTCTTCCCACATTGATAATTATCGGATTTACTAAGGTCGATTTGGCGAACTCTTGGATCTTCTTTGGCATGGTGGCACTAAATAGCAACGTTTGTCTTTGTCTGGAAAAATGATCTAAAGTGTTACGTACTTCTTCTTCGAACCCTAGATCAATTAACCTATCTGCTTCATCAAAGCAAAGGTATCTGCACTGCTCAAGGGTCATTCGTTTTTTATTTAACATATCATTTAGTCTACCTGGGGTAGCCACAACCATGTGCATTCCTTTCTGTACTTCTCGTCCCTGATCAAATGTGCTTACTCCTCCAATCATACATAAGCTCCTTAACATTGGGTAGTTATCCTTATGTAGAAAATCACAGAAATATTTTATAACATTATGTGTTTGTGTTGCTAGTTCTCTGGATGGACATACGATAAGGCCGAGTGGTCCTTCTCCTTCCTCAATTTGACATCGCAGTTCTCCTTCCAAGCAAATCATAACCAAAGGTAGAACAAAAACGATCGTTTTCCCACTGCCCGTAAATGCGATTCCGATGATGTCTCTCCCAAGAAGGATGGATGGTAATCCCTGCATTTGTATCTGCGTAGGCTTATCAATTTTCTTTTTTTTCAAAGCTTTTAAAATCGGCTTGGGGAATTTCATGTCACGAAAGTTTTTAATAGGTGGTGGAATATCACTTCCACTTACGTCGATATAGAATACATTTCTCACTTTATTCACGTACTTATCACTTAGCAGTTTATACTTGCTTGGTAGCGTCCATATCGTTTTGAAGTTCTCATTATACACGATACCTTTCGCTCTTTCTTTAACAGATTGTAGTGGTGCATTTAACGCTTTGGACACCTGCGCTAATATTTTCTCCTCCTTCTTTCGAATTTCCTCTGTCTCGTCTACTTCATTGTTTTGTGCCTGCAGTTTCATTTTGTAGTATGTCTCTAGGAGGCTCTTCTGCATGTTTATCTGTACTTGGTTTTGTTCCTTTGTGATCTTCTTGACAGACTTCTTTTTTCCCTTACGATCTTTTTTACGCCTTTCCTTCTCGTCCTGGTTGTCCCCACTTTCTGTCCCACTGGAATTTTCACTTGAGTCATTTTCTTCGCTACCCTCTCCGTCTTCCTCCTCATCTTCTTCCTCCTCCACCTGGTCTTTCCTCTTCTTCTTTTCACTTAAAAAGCTGTTCACCAGGTTATCCATAAACCTCTTCTTTCGGACGATCCTGGGTTCGTAAACGAATTCGCTGCCGCTGCTGCTGCCGGCTCCATCGTTATCCCCCCGTCCCTGTGCCTTGACTTCGTCTAGCTCCCCCATTTAGGCGGCTTCCTTGGCGTATATTTACATGTACATGCATTTAAGCATTTATGCAATTGCGTGATTGCGTTTCTGCGTCTTTGCGCATTTCCGTGTATATATACACGCCTGCGCTGCGCGGTCGAGGAGAAACCAAGCGTGACCCTAAAAGCTCCTCTGTATGGCCCCCTTCAAGACGAGCTCTAACAAATGCCGCTCTACAATCAGTTACTCTAAACATTTACGCATTTATTTATCTACTCCCCTATATGTCATGCTGCGCGGAGCCGTTTTCGTCTTCCCATCCCTCTCCCTTCGTAGTCCAGAATGACCGATCGTTCGGAAAAAAAAAAACTCATCCTCTAAATGTATAACTTAGGCCTAAAAATGGAATTTTTCAGTCGAACCAAAAGGGGTAATTTTTTTTTTCTTTTTTTTTTTTTTTTCTCCGTCACAAGATAGTGACCAAATGGGGAATAAAAATTTTCCGCCCCCTCTGAAAAAAAAAAAAATAAAATAAAGAATAAATCCTAACGAGTGATGAAGAAAGAAGAGAACTATGGATTTTCGCTCTACAACTTTGATGCCCATGTTATAGTCATTCAAAGAAGTAATGATTTTCCCATTTTTTTTGTTCCTCTTTTACTGTCCTTATGAGCCTCCCCCAGCTGACAAGAACAGTACGGTAGCTTCACTTCTTAATAATCCGTAGGAAATTAAAACATTTAGCAGAAAGCAGTTAGGACGTTCCTCTTGAGGAAGGGGAAAAAAAAGTACACATCCGAATTTAGCACAATATGGGAGGGGGTTCCATTTCTAATCGCTTAGAAGTACGTATGGACATACCAACCCTTACGATCAACGGGAGGGATGTAGTCTCGCGAAAGTTTTGCCGAAATTTA